TCACAGTTGTATTCATTTTTTGTGATATTCATTTTGGCGCATTCAGTTCTATCTACTTTCTAAAATCATTATCATCATTATTATTATCATCAGCAATACCACCAGTCTTACCTGCCTCATCATTCTGCTATTATTAGAAGTGCCAGCGTGCGCTGCAAATATCATTGCAAGATCATTCTTATCAGTGCGCAGCAGAATAACAACGTTTAGAATGCATACAACGCTAGATATCAAGGCAGAATTACCTAATAGATGAAACCGTCTATCATGCATAAGACCTCTTCATTGTATTCTTCGCATAATGCTACAGTAAACTTGGGATAATACTTGATGTAAAATAAACATAGACAAGATTATGTGGATTGAAACCTCGCAAAAAATGGATAAGGTACATCCAGGCAACGTGTAAACCTAGAACTTGAAAAAATGATATAGAAACTTGTGGATATTACTTTACCCCTTTTCTACTGCAGCTGCGAGTGGGTTGGGATGCCTTGAGCACTGACCTTACACCGCTTTGTATGCACACCAGGTCAGCCCATCAAGTTATTTCTTGCATCTCCTGGCTGGGGTATAAAAGGAGAGCTCGAGAACATAACCGGGGTTTAATGGCATGAAGAAGGCATCATAAACGAGCGTGCAAGAAGAAAGAAAGAAAAAAATCCAAATGGAAATACGTGTATGTTTTCTTTTGTCTTTTTTCCTATCATTTAGCAGGCCGTTTTGGGTGCGTGTATATATGCAGGTGTATGTTGTTGGTGTTTCAATGTGTAGTGTGGCTGGGAAAAACACCGTCTTACCCACAACGCAACCCGATTTCAAGCACTGGTGGATAAGGTTCGTTCGCTCGAAACAGTTGAAGTGTTCACGACCTTCGAGTGACATGTCTTCTCTAATCTCTACATTATTTATTATTTTAAGTGATTGTGTTGTATATATTTTCTTCCTTTTTTCTTCATTTCGTTTACTCCTTTATTTCCCATCCGTGATTCTAGAACGACACTTGAGATCATCTTGAAAGACGTGTGTCTGACTCATTTCTTTATGCCAGTTTCGGATCGCCTGAAACATTTCCATGCGAAAAAGGGTTTCTCATGCATGGTCTTTGGGGCGCTTGAGTGTTGTCCTTGAATGCGGGCGGAAAGCGGGTAAACACCTTTATCTGTTTATGCTCTTGCTCTGTTTATAGATAGTTTATTCTTTCATCTTCTACTTTCCGCCCGCTTAGTTGTCTATCATGGTCTAAATGCGTATTCGAGAAACATTTGAAGATGTTATATCGTTTTATGAATGGGCACCAAAGCGAATTATTTTCAACTGGGAATTAGGTGATGAACCCCAAACTTATCTCTTTTTTAAAACTGTATTCTAGGTCATCCCATCCCTATCCACTCAAAAAAAGATAAAAAACTATTTATTTCAGAATATGTTTGTAGTGTAAGGACGATCATTGACGCTGTTTATACATGGTATGGCCGACGAAGACAGCAAAAGTGTGTTCCCGATGTCTCTGAACTGAACCTATTTTGTCATGCCACAGACTAGTTCATGGGGGACACACTTTTCGTTTCTGTGGCGTTTTTCCGTCTGATTTATGTGTGTAATGTAACGCTATCATATTGGTCCTGTCGGATCAAAATCAAGCTGAGAAAGTCAATAAAAGAGCTTGGTCTTACTTACGTTGTTTTATTGTTTCCACGAGAAATGTTTGGAAAAAAAGAGTGAGGATACAATTCTAGGGATACAAAGACATGAAATATCACAGCTGGTGCTAAATGTTGCGTATTCTTCAGGTGCAAATAATGGGAGATTTTATAAAGGAAGAAAAAAATATTCTTACCATATTCGCACACGCATATAAACACCTTACAATACTATTACTGAAATATATTCCTGAAGTGAGTAGATTACATTACATGACTTATCAAACACTGCCATGGCATGAGCCTGGGTTACTGCAATAGACAGTAAGACGTATAAGCAGAGGAGCCTTCAATCATTCAGAGGCATTTGTGCCTTGTTGGAAATGTTGATGGTGACCTGGTTGAAATGCCGTGCGGGGGACACAGTAGGATGCACTGAGGCCTTAGCGGCAAAGATTCGCCATTCTTCCGCCCAATCCTTCTTCGCTTGGTCGTTTCCTTCCCCTACATTCCCCTTCTTCTTCTCGTTTGTCTTCCAGACACGGTGGACCTCCCCTGCTAGGTTCTTCAGGCTCTTGAGATTAGTCTTGACGCCCGAGGAGAAGGCCAAGCCCAGTTCGAGAGGCGAGGCTTCCTTCTCGCTCGCCATGTTCTTGAGGATCTCGACGCGCGCCTGCTCCCACTTCGCCCTCCGACTCTCGGGGTTGAGGGAAAGCTTGAGCGTCCTGTCGTGCGCCCCTTTGCGCCAGTAGAGCAGGTACATAAGGAGGAGCGACGCAACGGTCAGGATCAGCGGTAACACCCCGAGGACGACTTGCACGACCGCCTCGGCATGGTTGGCGTCCGTCACAGCGAAA